TTTGTTATATATTGATTGTTGAATTTGAATCGGTAAATGGGAATAATCGAATAAATATTTGCCGAATTCATGATTGGGGAATTGTTCGTCGAACGATTTCCCTGTCTCATTGAACGCGCGATCTAGATTTCCGTTAACGTCGTCGCGCGGTACACGCGAGTCAGCACCTAATTCCCCAACAAAAAAATGATAATTATCTGTCGTTGCGATAGAATGGCGTGCTAATTGAAACGTCGGCGGGTTTAACGAACGGTGTTTCACTCGGAGAACGTGATTCGTATTCGATTAACGCGAGAGTCACGAACGAGTCAACTTTTATCGAATCACGGCGCGAAAATAATTAACCGATGACGGCCGACGTGACGATACCCGGCACAGCCGCGGTCCCGTTTGAATTTTAATGAACCCGCGGCACGGCGCAAAATGGCGGCTCCGATACCTTTGACACCGGCGAAGTGACAGTCAAATTTTCGCGGTGTATTTTACTTATTAAGCTCGGATTAATGAGATTACAGGCATTTGCATGGAAAGTAGTCGTCGAAGATATTGCAAAAAAGTTCCCGATTTTTCTGAAATTCAAATCGAGTAACGAACAAAGAGCGATTATTATGTACTAACTACAAAACCGATCAACCTTAATTCGATTGCATAATAACATTAACTTCCTGCATTGCTTTTTGCTACTCAATCTTACTCGGAATCGTCTGGTGTTCTAATACAGAATAATTAACCCATTGAACAAACTATATATTAACGTCCTATTATCAATCCTTAACCTTCAGAGTAAACGTGGACGTAGAATAAATATCGAATTCGTTTCACTGTCTGATTAATCGTTACCAATGAAGTAATTTTATCCAGCACAGTTCCTTAACACTAGAACTACCGAGCATTTAATATGATTAATACGCAATTCCTATAAAAATTGTAACAAAAGATTATTCTCAGTTTCTTCAGACTTCATTATAGTACTGAAATGAGACTATTTATTTTCAAAATCATTTCGAATATTCAATGCTTCGAAGATATCGATAATTGCTAAACGAAAAAATCGAAACCAGTCATTTCGACTGGTACGGCAGTTCTGGTGTTAACGCGTTGACTGCCACGAGAAACATCAGTGTTTTATGTATCATCCATTCTACAGCAAAGATACAAAGCAAGAATTATTAATTCTTTGATACGAAAATTCTTATATTACCCTATTATCTATTCATTTACGTTATAGAAAATTAACATTAGAAATCAATTGTCCTCCAAGTAATAATTATTTTCTTGTCATTTGAAGTCTCCGGTCATCGGTGACCGCCGCGGCGGTCAAAGTGTTAACCAACGAACACTTACTTCGTAAGAGGAAAGTGAAGTACTTTCTTCTTTCTCCTTGGCTCTCCGGAAACTCCCCTTTGTTTTACCGAAACTGTAGCTCGGAAGTCTCTCTCCGGTTTCCGGGATCGATATTATCCGCCGCTCGCGCCCAACTGTCCCGCTAAACAGGTAATTTGCGAGACACAAGAAAACGCTTGAAATGAAACCGACCGCGATCCTCGGTTCCCAGCGCGGAGCGCGCCACCCGACTCTCCCCGCGATGATTTCACCGCAAGGGACCGTCTGAACTTCTGCCTATTGTTTCTCGGGAAAGTTGCCGCCATTTAAACGCGTTCGCCTGAGTTTCTGGGAACACTCGTCGCATGGAAATGCGTGTTTTGTTGCGGACCGCTCGAAACTTCACGCGTAGCCGGTGAACGCGGGGGTCGTTGAACAATTTCCGAGCGAAAATTGGAACGTATTGTAGAATAAAATGAAAATGTTAATAAATTCGATCGTTCCGATTCGGTGATGTATGTTTACACTAAACGTACCCGGTAAATGACCGGTACTGTGATATAAAAAAAAGTGCATCTCTGGTTTCCCTTTCCCGTTAGAAACAGATGAAAACATGTATAATCTTTTTCTTCTTATCCAACAGTTACTCTGTGCATTGATTCCGTATTAAATCATCGATCACCTACATTCCTCTTGCAACAATGTAATCGGTAGTTGTGCCGGTACGTTTAGTGTCAAGCTTGCATTCCATCTCGCGAGATCTCGTAGCCTAAATATTCACTAGCACCGATCTTTCTATAAATTTCAGAATTTCTTACTTGGATATTTATTATTAATTTGATATTAACACGTTGAATGTTAATATCAAATCGAATTACTGTAATTCACTCGGTTAAACGATGATTATTTAGAAACTGTCCCATACTGGAAACGGTGCAACCTAAGGCGATGACGTTTAGTAAAGTAACCGTGCAACAACGATAACGCAATTCAATGAAATAATTTGATATAAATTTTCCTACTTTGTACATTTGCTCCGCAAAATCAACTTCATTCATTCGATGTTCGACGCGATCGACTAGCGGTTTAATCAAGCGCTTCACCGTTGACTCCAAATATATTCATTAATTACTCACATTGTCATTACCTATTTCGAAGGAGACACTTTTGAGCCGCCAAAACGACAAATTCTTTGCATCAATAATCCCGATACATGAAATATCCGAAAATTTCACGAACAAAGTACTCTCTCTTCAGAGTATACTGAAATAACTTTAATTACGAAGGCGTGGGCTGCGAGCGTCATTTCCTCTGATAAAGTGTGCCCGCGCAAGGAGACGCGGGACAGAACAAACACGTTTCACGAGAAGAGTGTCAGGTGCGTCGAGAGTGGCTGAGCACGAGACAATGGTAATTGAAGCGGTCGTCGTCCAGACGTTGGCCAGGATGCATTACTTGGAAATCCATCCGCGAAGAAGGCCATTACCACTGACTTGATGACCATACAAAAGAGGCCTGTCGAGAACGCATAGGTAGCTCAACAGGTAGCTCGGAAAGTGCCTTCCCCCGTCCCCCTGTTCCCGGCCCGCGCTCCTTTTATGCTCGACAAGCCTCCCTCGTGTCTACGCACGCACATCCCACCCTGGAATTGACATTTTCCCACGCAACTGCCGCCGCGGTAATTCTCCACGCTCAGAACTTCCGGTTCGATACAGCCGAAAACATGGCAGCGATGCGTCAGCCCTCGAACAGCTAAAAATAGTGGAAATATCTTTACGGAAATTGAGAAGAGTGGATTGAAATCGGTTCGATTTAAATAATCGAAGGGTCTACGAGATATACGAAATTGTTATCTTGCAATTCGATACTAATTATTCTAGAACGGTCTCGTCTAACGATTCCACGCGGTCGCGAATCAATTGACGAACCTTTATACGTTCGTGACAAGTGCGTTTAGCTTCATCGAAAATGCAAATTTTGAACAAAACTCTTCGATGTTACACTGCCCGTGGGATGAAGTGAAGTGATTAACATCCTGTATAACGCAGGACTTGAAGACTTAATCCTTCGACAATGTTTTTCATTGTAAACTCTCATTACTCATGAAATTATTCTCAATTCACACGAAGAAGAATCTTAAATGTATAAAGAGACAGACCAATGTTACTTCAATGTTTCATCTGTAAATTTTTGTAAGGAAACAGTTTTTGTGACATGTGTCAAAGAACAATGGTACACGTCGTGAAGCAATAAAAACGTGAAGATATATCAAAATATATTAAAAGCCAGCAAAAGCTCGAATGTAACTTAATCTATCATTTAACCCTTAGCAGTCCTATGTCGAGGCAGACTCGACATTCTATTTTATTGCAACCTCTACCTGCTAACAATTTTTTCTGTATTTCTTTGTAGTATCACAATTCTACAATTTAAAGGTAACACTTCGATCACTCCCGAATATTCTTGAATAAATAAATAGATCGTCGTATTAAGCTGTGAGTGAATGAACTAACGTCGACGTGAACCTCGAAGTGAGAAACCAAGAGCACTTCGGACCGCAAAGGGTTAAACAGTCAATGTGCCTTATAAGGAAAATATAACCGAAGTGTTAATGTTGATTCTCATTAGAATTTACTTACGTGGAATGGAATGCTAGGCTGACCTCTCGAGTGCGAAGGGTTAACGTTCGATGGGCGACGCACGTAGTCGGAGGGAGACTCGAGCTCCGTTCCTTCTGCGAATTTTCAAAAAATTTCCCTCGGTGCTCGATTATCGGCAGCCTGACCAGGGGATTTGTCGAGGTCCGACGTGATTAAATAAGCAGCCGGCCGCGATTCATTCCCGCCCGGCCCGGCGAATTCGTGCGGAACAAGCGCGATCTGGGACGAGCGGAGAAAAAAGCCCTGGCAGCTGCCCTCCTTGACGTTTCACGGATGCCCGGGCACGCCCGTCGAAATCCGTTATTCGGGCAACGGGGAACGCGAATGAATATTCAATCGACCGTCGGAGCCCGCCTGATAACTGATAATCCCTCGCGCTCGAAATAGCCGGGATCCGCGGCGCTGAAAGAGGATTCCGGGAGGATCGCGGTTTACTCGATTGCCTTCATCCCCCCTTCATCCCTCTTCGTTCTACGCTGACGATGAAATATGGAGGCCTAACGGCCGGGTTACCATTGGTTTTCTACTCGCCGATCGTCGCCCGCAATTTGTAGAACCCAACTACTGTTCGATGACTACTCTGCGGTACAGGAGACAGCGTTGACCGGTAGCTATAGTCTGCTCTTCGTGCAGAGCGACAGTGAAGCTGTTCACAGTCGTCTTGTGTTTTATCGAAGTTCGTAAAAGTTTGTAGTTCCGAGGTGGAAAGTTTCTAGAAGATTCAAAGATTACTCGCATTCTCCCGAGTAGCTGTAATTCGATCTTCAGTGGCAGGATACAAGCAATGAATAGTTTAATTCGAAAGATCGAAATGTTCAATACGACGAGGACATTCCACGTGAACTTTTCACTGGACAGAAGAGATATCGCAAAGGAAGTTAAAATCTCGTTAAGATTCTATCTAGAAGAGAGCAGTTACACTCCATTATACCCTCATCGACGGTGCAGCGATAAGTCTCTTCGCAGTCTCCCAGCAATCTCGATCAGCGTCTCGCCGGGCGGCATAATTTGCCCGACCTAGTCCCGCCCAGCCCCGGCCCAGAAAATCCCGAAGCGCTCCGCGTCCCCGGAATCGCGCGATCGATCACCGGTTCCCGACATCATCAGCAGGTTCCTCGCCATCTTGAGCAGCTCGGGATCTTCCATAGCCAGCTGTTCGATCATCCGGACGCTGCTTACCGTCGCGTCGTCCTCTTTACGAGCCGCCGTCCTCCCGCAGACGTCGTCTGTCCCCATTCTCCCTGACACGCCGTCATCATCTCGATCCTCTATCACGTAGGTAGCGTCGGTGTTCACGGTCTTCATCGACGTTCCGCTCGTCTGGCGCTTCGGTACACCCTTTGCTGCATCAGTCTCAGCTGCGCGCACCTCCGAAACTTCGTCCGAGTCCTCTCCAAGGTTTCCCGTTTCTTCCAGTTCATAGGAAGCCGAAGAAGCAGCTGAAGAAGACTGTTCGCTGCAGACAGAGGATACGTCTTCCTCGTCTTTGGATGTCTTCGTTGGTTCCTCGACTCTGAAAGTGCCGTCGCCGCGAGAAGCTGAATTCTCTTCGTCCAGATCAGATCTCGTTGAATGCTCGAGCCGCGCCGTTGTCTCTCCATCGACCGACGCTTCGCTGCTAGACCCGTCGCCCTTGTATTCCGTGATTATCCTCTTCTGCGAGTAAGTGATTACAGTCTCCGTTCTATCGACGAGCCGGCTGCATCGTCCGAGACGCTGGTCGGTGACTTCGTCGCTTCTCGAGGATCGAATCTTCGATTCTTCGGCTCTATTTAGAGCGCTCGTCACGCGAGCAATGAGATCGCGGATGTAAGACTGCATCGGAGTGTCGCCTTCCTCCTCGGTGATCCTCGCGGCTATCCGTAGCTCCCGCGACGCCTCCGCGAACCTCCCCAGCTTGGCTAGACTTTGGCCTTTGGAAGACAACGGAGTTCAATTGATGAATTCAATTTACAACCGCAACGCAGAACCAAGATCGATACTTTCCTAGCAAGAGCTTCCCGTGAAGCAGCCACTTGCCGCAATTCGCCTCCTCCGCAGCCTGCACGCATCCCGCCGCCATGTCCATCGCCTGCGGGTACTTGCCGGTCTCCAAGTAACACCGGCCGATCTCGTGCCTGATCCAAGCGGCGGGTATCGGCTCTTCGAGGTGAACAGCCAAGTGTTCCCAAGCTTTCGCAGCCGCGTTCAGGTGTCCGAAGCTGAGGTGCACCTTGCCGAGCGTGACCAGCGCTCTGCAGAACTGCACGAGGTCGCCGGTGCTCTTCGACAGGCGTATCAGACGCGACGCGCTGCAAACTGCCAGGTCGTGCCTCTTCAGGGCCACGTGGATCAGGGATAAATAATGATAGGAGGCGATCTGGTAACGACTCGGGTCCTCCAGGGCCTCGGACACCGTCAGCAGCTCCTGGGCAACCTTCGCCGAGGCGGCCATCTTGCCGGCATTGAAGGCAGACTCTAGATCCGCGAGATACCTGTCGGCTGCGTTGCTCAGTTGGCGCAGCATCAATTTAGATCGCGCCAGCCGAGTGTTCGTGGGTCGTGGGCTAGGCAGAGTCTTCCAGAACCTCTTGTGATTGTCAAAGTAGCTGCAAACGAGAGCCACGGAGAAGGATCCTTTGAGAACTGGGACGACTCGAGAACTCGCGTGGGCAGGATTAAAGGGACAGCGTCCGAAATTCTATGGGACACGAGGAATTTCAGGGGACGCCCGTTGGATTAGTCTCGAGGAATCAGATCGAGCTGGCCCCTCTCGCGTTCGATGTTAGAGGACTGAGACGGTGAACCTAATTCTTTTCTCGTTTCTACTGAACCTAGTACACGTTTCTATACACAACTCAAGAAAGTATCCGAATGTCCATATGTATGATACATTGTACTGTAAGCATGAGATTTTATAATTATGTTCTAACTTGAAGTGTACGGATGAAAGTTTGTAACAGTATAAGTTACATCCAGTAACTCTTGGAATATGAAGACTCTCTCACCCATGCAACTGTTTTCATATATAGGATCTGAGTCAATTCTACCGTTCGAATAAATGTATTCGATCCTAAGGCTTCACGTGTACAGTCTTACCGAAACCGGTTGAAACTATAAGCCGTAGTTGTATGTCCAGAGCTGCTAGATTTGTCGCTTAGAGTAGTTTAATCCTTGCCTAAAGATCCTTGGATACTGTTTTGCAACAGTATCAAAGGCTTGCAGAACCCGAGTCCTGTTTCGCAGGAACTATAATGGGCATTTATGTATCTGTGGTAGTAACGAAGTATAAGTTTAGGAATTTAGAGTGTTCCTAGTCTGCCTCCGATTCTGTCTGAACCTGGTAAGTATAATCATCTTGGAAACTACAGCGTAACCATAGGAAGCAATGGAAACTTCGAAACTATAGTGTAGACTTTAAAGCTACAGTTACAAACTGCAGTGAGAAAATTGGAATTCTCTTACTTTGATAATAATAATTGATTATTATAATGATGCGTATACCTCAGAACTTCGGTAACAGAAGCAGGATTCGGTGTCTTCTTGAGTTTCTCGTTCGCCAAAATGGCGGCGGTCTCGGGACACAGGCTCGCCACCAAATTCTCCTCGGATTCGTTACTCGTCGATGTTCTCCGCGGAGCTCTGGGCGGATCGTTACAGGAGCTTATCGTAGATGTTGCCCTCATCACTGCCACCTTGTGACTGCTATCGCGCGGGAACAAATTCGCTGCTCGATGGTACAGCACCAGCGCTGACTCGTAATCACCGCTGCAATTTGCGAGAATTTGATGCTTTTCGTCCAGCTAAGTGATGGCAGCCGCGAAATGAACCGGCGATTAATTATGGTCTACCAAATACCTCCTTTTGAGGGAACTCCGAAACGGGAAGCAATTAACTGGAACGGTTCCCGCGGAACGCCTGTTTTCGTTGAACTAAGGGAAACACGATTTACCGACACCCGAGGAAATCTCGCGGAGAGTTTCGCGATAAGGAACGAACGGTAACAGAAATTGGTTCGTTTTCGAGAATATCTTGTGTATATATCGTTACGTTCGAGAATTTCGAGCTACGTCTGACAAATAGGTGCGAAGATTAAATCTTACGTTCGCAAGGTATCTTTCGAGCTACTCGAATTTACCGTGACGAAAAACGCTCGCTTAGACATCGTTTCCGAATCGTAATGAAAGTAAATATACCCTGAAAGTCAACATACCAAGCGATAATTAATTCTTCAACAATGTACTTGAATTGATGAAAACTTCGAATATTTCTAAATAACTGTTTCCCAAGCAACTAGCTGCAGAATAAAGATAAACAAATTAGATACAATTTTCTCAGTAGAGATAGAAATAAAAGGAAAGACGAAAATTAAAGAACTGATTGAGTCGGACGATATAGGAATTGAGATGAAGTTTAACAAGAAAACACAGAATTTCCAACAAAGTAGCACCGCTTAAAATACGTATTACTAGAATTTAACTAGAAAATAGAAAATCGTACAAAATGAATGTTCACAGTCTTGATGCTGCCGCGTTCGAGTTCGCAAAAGTGTCGGAAGTCGGTAGACTACTTAGACGAATGTTTAATCATCTAAGGTTGAAGCCAGTGAACTGACCGGTCCGCGGTGCAATTAGCGTCAAGCGGTCGTTTCCGGAAATTCCGAAGCCATTACGTTTCCATTGGATTATATTCACGGGTGAAGAATCTAAACAACACAGCTGGGACCATAATCCCGCGGTTTTGCTTCAGTTATGCTCGATAGGTCGCGGCGGGTGGCACAATCGCTTGTTCCGCGAAACTCGCACGGCCGCTGAACACAGCCGTCCAATTGGTGGACAGGTTGTATGAAACGGCGACGTTAATGATGTCGACGGGCGCGAGAAGGACCGGGCAATAGCGAGCGATAATTCCGTCTGTATAATTCCGACGATGAAATATAGTTGACAGGGGGTTAGTTCGGCAGCCTGACGATTCAAACGGCCGATTAACCGGCCGGGAAATGGATTTGCTCGCGAGGAACGTACAACGTCCATAGAATTCTACAATTAACGAACGATTTCGAAAACTCCGGCACCCCAGCTTCCCAGCTGTCGTCGCGACAACGGAAGCCGACAGCGAATCTCTCGTTTCCCTGTGAATTCGTCCAAAGGATTTCTCTTTTATTCCACCGTTCGCTTTGTTCCCCTCTTTGGCGCGCAGATTGATCGAAGGTAGATTCCATCCGATTCTCCATCGGAGAATTCTATTTCTGTATCTCTTTCAATTAATTGTCTAACAGGGACGAGCTCCGTTTCAACCGAAATTCACGTGTCAGATAATATCGAGCGCGTGCTTCATTCAAAATGCAAACTCGTTGCGCGCCAATCCATTGATCACAACTAAATTTATTCCATTCCCCGAACGCTGTCTCGCTCGAAGTGTAAAATCATCGTGTGTATTAACCCGTCGATTCCGACCAAATTCATTCCATACCGCGGGCGCAGTTCGTTACACGAATTAACGTTTAATTCGAAACGAAAAGTGTGTCATCGCGCTCGGCGCGTTAATGACACTCCGGGAACGACGTTTTGTAAATAATAATCAAACCGCGGGCGAGCTCGTCGCGCGGAACCGCCGCGGGCCGGGTTAATCGAATGCGAAACGAAATTGTTGCAGCGACATCGGAATTACTTTGCAGGAAGTTATTCAGATTCGCGTGTCGTCTATCGAATCGCGCGCCGCTGGACGGCGAGCAGAGTGGCCGGACGGTTCTGTAATTACCTATGCAAAAGTGATTAAACGATACCGTACGGTCGGTCGAATAATTGAACCCGCCGCTCCAAAGGAATAAATTAATTCCGCTGATCAAATCATTAAAACCGCGCCGGAACAATACCAACGCCCACTCGCTGCGAGCGTACGCCGCGCGACGCGGTTCAATTGCCGGCGATAATATTATTTTCCATCGGAATTGCGGGATCACTATCGCAACAACTGCACTCTTTTCACTTGAAATACTGCGGAATCGTATTAGCGTGCCCTCCCATTTATGGCCGACCGAAATGTTTGACGTGCTCGACGCTTTAACGTTTCGAACGTTCGAATTTTTATTTTATTCGGGAGCGTTAGAGAAATCGGGAACCAGACGGTTTCGCGATATGTCGAACGTAGAGTAATTAGTAATGCGAATGTACGAGGAACGAGGGAGGATTGAAATATTGATGAAATAAGAAAGATGACACTCTACTGGGAGAAAAGATGCGAAAGGTTGAGGGATAAATATGTGGCTCTAGGGATTGTCATGAGAAGATTCTTGGCAATCCACGCTGTTCACGTTGAATATTCAAGACGACGGATTTTTGCGTGGCAGAAAAGCTTCTTATTGTTATGATATTCGCTCTGCGATCCTCGGAAAAGGAATCTCAAACAGTTTTAAACGCAGCCTTTGTATCCTACGAGGAGATTACCCGAGATCCTACTAGTTCACGGAAGCTTTCGCGAGCAGGAGAAAACGGGAACTCCTATCTGGACCCAAAAAGGCAAGGAATAAAAATCGAATGGCGCAAGATCGCGGCGTCGGATTAGCCTCCGGATTTATCGAGAAACAGAATCGCTGAGAGAGAATGTTCGTGATACTGCCGCGTACATTATTTGTTGCGTCGACTGCTGAGAACTGTGAACGATGTAACAAATGGTTTGTTATTGACTATATTATAAACTTCCACGCATTTACGGTAAATATGAAACTGCAGAATTGCACAGTACCCTTTAGAACCTTCCTTGGAAAAATCCATTTTCTATAGAAATTCTACTTTCCAACGACACAATGAAACATTTGAATCCGCATGAGGATCCGCAACATAATTAGTACAATTCTCACACTATTATCTCGTTACCTACTCGATTAACCGTTTCTATTCGACACCGATCGTCGTATATACACACTGTTATTGATTTCAAGCAATTCATGATCGATTATCGATGCCGGGCGCTGACAGTCAGCGGGCAAAGCGCACTTTGCATAAACGTAACATCACGAGGCTCAATGCGGCGTGTACGGTTTCGGATTATGCCAATTAGCATACAACAATGTTGTCTAAATAGTTTGCTGGTGGAGTGCCAGTGTATCTTGCCTCAGATAGAGCTGATCGGCTTCGCGATGAATGGCCGCCGCCAGGTCCCGACCGGTTTTTCGGCCGGATTTCGCCTGGTTCCTCCTCTGCCCGGAACGGGCGCGGATTTCCGCGTGTTCCACTGCCTTCCTCACCTCGTTCAGACCGCGCAGCTCGTCCTTGGGCCCTCCGCTCGCGAGGACAGCCATCGATTTTCGTGGCTTCGGCACGCACTGACGTCGCGCCTGCCTGAACTTCGCCGTGAAGCTTTCTCCCGATTCGAGAGCCGTCGAGCATCAAACGGAGCTTCTTCGCGTTCCACACTTTCACGACTCGCTATGGCTTCGATGGAAATATTTGACACGTCGGGTACCACGGGGGTCGCCGGTGACCCCCGTCCAAGTTCAATTACCGTAATTCCCTCGATTGACGCGATGAATATTTGAAAACGTTACTATACTGTAAATAACGCTATCTAACGCGGCGACATTTAGCAGAACAAACCTGCGATAATAACACAATACAATGAAATAATTTAATATTGCATCTTTTTCATTTAGCAGACTGCAGCTTAATATCGTGCCATTCGTATTAATGGAACGTAGCGTTGGGTTCCTCGGTTTTAATCTGTTAAATGAAAGGTTATTCAGTGTGCTGACGGGAAAGTGGAGAGGGAAACGTCTTTTTTAGGGTTAGAGACGTTTCAGTGGAAAGGCTATCTAGGAATGATAAGGAGTAGGAAAATTTGTCTGGAAGGAACAGCGATTATGATTGAAGCAAAGTGTTGTTCGATTCAATTGAATGATGAGAATGCGATCGGAATGAAAAACCAGTTTCAATTGAGTATTGAAACGGATTATAAATTAATGCGCGCTTACAACTGAATTACAGTGATCTCTTTTGCTACATACCGCCTTCGACATTGCTAGCGTCCGGCAGTAAACTATTTAAGAAACGGAAGTTTCTTCCCTGAAACTTTGCTCCTTAATCTTGAAGACCGTAGAAGAAGAACCGTTTCAACAATAAGAACTCAAACTTGGAAACACGACGCGTCCTGTACTTCAGGTACAAACATTTACATGAACAACAATGTCCAGAAGTTTTGCCTCCACGTATCGATTGCGTACAAGGTTCTCGACCGTATAAAACGCGATACATTTAGTTCCAAACAAACGTATTAGAAACGAATTATTAAACATTAAATATTTCCCCTATCGAAGTGTCCCGTTGATCAAAAACAAAAATCGAGTCCCATAAAATCGGATACCGAGCTAGTTCAACGGATTGTCGCGCGATCGTAAAGAAAATTGCGCAGCACGCACGAAGACTAATTAGAAAACAAGCCGGCCGAGGCCTCGGACTTTTCCGATAGAAGCGAATCTAATTTCCTCGCGAACTTCTTAGACGAATTCGGTAACGCAGTCTCCTCGGGGGTGAGGGGACGAGCCAGCCGGTGAACTTTCGATTTAACGGCGCTCGGGCAGGCGACGGGCAAGTTATCCCATTAGAAGAGATTTTCGAGGGGCCGATAGAGCGTCCGGCGTCCGTTCGGCGTGTCAAAAAGTGAATAAGATAGAATATCTCGTCGGCGTTCTTCCAGCCGATAAATCCAGTCCAAGCTGCGAAGTCGTCGTCGCAGCTGGACTACGAGTATCCACCGGGAGACGAAAGAGACGCGTCCTCCGCGATGTCAGCCCGAAAGCTGCCGGGTCAACAAGCTGGAGACCCGCCCTAAAAGTTTAATTGCTCGACGCATAAAACTTCCCCGAGGCAACTTCGGCAGTCCGGGCTTGAGATCGCCGGCTGTTCGTTGCAAGCGCGAAGTGGTTCCTTCCGCTACCCCATCAAACACCCATCAGCAGCAGGGGATAGCCAGCGGCTGTACACAGCTAAGACGAAACTGGAGATTCCCCTTTGGAGTTAATGCAACCGGATGTTTCCTTCGATCAGTATTAAGGATCTCCGTCTTCGGATCCCGGGTTAGCTGTTGAATCTTTGGAAGTTTAAAAACAGGCTCAATCCGGCGGCTAGGATTGGAGGTGAACGTAAGAGAGATTGATGATAGATGGAGCGCAACTTCAATTACAGTGGAAATCGACTGTCAGGAAGAAGGCTGTAAAGATGGTTCACGCTGCAGTAATGATTCCCAGCATCCTTCGTTGAACATCCTTGATGATTCTTCAAGTGTTCCGGCATTATCCTTCGTTTGACTTTCATCGATTAGTACAGCTTTTGATACTAAATTCTTCATCGATGCATCAAACTGCGATCCGGAGGAGCAATAGTCGAAAAAGTATCGTATCAATCGAACTCGTTGAAGTCGATGTAACCCGGCCGCTCCTTTGCCAGCTCGTACTTCGCCAGGAACGCCTTTCTCGCTTCCTTGTGAGGGTCCTTCGCAGCTACCGGCAGGATGCTGACTCGTTTACACGGGAATTTGAATTTCTTGTCGACTGGTTTGCAACCGGGCATCACGGATAGCCTGCGTTTAGCTGGCACTGCGTCCATGCTCCTCCAAAGGTAGTCCACCTCTGGCTTCATGTCTTCGGGCATCAGGTCCAGGATCAGCTGCTGCCTGGTAGCGATCGGATCCTGATCCGACATCTTCTCCATGTCGGTCTCGTCGATCATGTCCAGAATCCAGACGTAAAAGTCAGTCAGGAAGTCGAGGCCGAGCTTCTTCGCGCTGCCCAGAGCCAGCACTGCCGCTTCTTTCGCCTCGTTCCGGTAGTTCTGGCTGATCTCGATCCTGAGGATTAGATGGTGGACGTTTAGGGTCCATTGCTCACTATCCGCCTCCTCGCTCATGTCGCGCGCCTTCTTCCCGTAAAATCTAGCTAGGTCGTAGCGGCGGATGTCGATCAGGAATTTGCACAGCTCGTGGAACAGCCAAGCGAGCTCGAGTGGCTCGGACGCCATTGCTAGCCTCCTGTTACAGGAGTTAAAAGAATAAATGTAGATAATTCTCGGTATAATATAGTTTATATAATTGTTAAATGTATCTGTTTATATTGTAATATATTGTATATAACGTTAAATATATCTTTTAAATAATTGTCTTCTTATTATAGTTCAAACACTTGTTCACAACTTGAGACCCTTCTAAGCTCTCAAATACCGATAAAGAAAGATAGCAGCAGCTTTCGTAAAACAAAGTTTCAAACACCGGCATACAATTCATTCTACTAAAAAATAAACAAATTCAAGCATCGCCGAACAAGCGATGAAACGGGTGAATCAAGCGACAGCACAACATTCCCTGGTAACATTTCGTAAATTGGCCTGAGAAGATACGGATCCGCAAAAATATATAACAATATCTCGCTCGACAGGCTGATATTTCATTTCTTTGTTCAGAAATGTGGTCCCCTTGGAACCGCTTCCCGTCGTGGCCGTAACGACGAGTTAGCTGTGACGAAATTCACGTGGAGCAAGCAACGGGGATGAATTTTAACGCGAGAATTATGGCTGCCAAAAATCCCGACCCAGTTTAGAACCCCGGAAACGTCTTCCCGAGAGCTTCGCGGTGCGTCTCTAAAGCTAAATCCACCGAAGCCGTAGCTTTAGTGGACACCGTCGACTTGCGAACGCTTCCGGCGTTCGGCGATCTTACTTGCGGAAAATCCTAAGTGCTTCTTTTCCGCTGCGCGCGTGCACCCAACCGATATCGCAATCGCGAGGCAATTCCGCTACTCGTATTCCGAGGTGATGCTTGAGGTATGTTTTCCTCAGCTCGCTGGACCGCAGCCGCCTCAAATTCCGCGTGTCGATGTACGCCCACGCGACCATATTGTACACCGCGTCCAAACACTTGTGCTTCAATGGGAACATTTTCGGGGGGTAGCTGTCGAACTTGTCTTTCACTCGGTCGACCATCCTTGGAAGAGAAATTGGAAGGGTAATAGACCAAGTGTATAATCTTTGAACTGTTGGACGTTCAAGTTTTGAACGTTGAAGTGTTGGACGTTCTAGTTTTGAACGTTGAAGTGTTGGACGTTGAACTGTTGAATGTTGTACTGCTGGACGTTGAACTGTTGAAATTTTGAAATTTTGAACATCGAACTGTTGAATTGTTGAAGTATTGAAATTTTGAACATGGAACTGTTGAACTGTAGAACTGTTGAACTGTTGAAATTTTAAAATTTTGAATATGCAACTGTTGGACGTTGAACTGTTGAAATATTGAAATTTTGAACATGGAACTGTTGAATTGTTGAACTGTTGAAATTTTGAACATGGAACTGTTGAACTATTGAACTGTTGAAATTTTGAAATTTTGAAATTTTGAAATTTTGAAATTTTGAACATGGAACTGTTGAATCTTGAAACTTTAAACGTTAAACTCCACGTGTTCTCATTTCACAGCTATTAAGATCACATTTAGGAGTGAACGGCGCGCGAATGGTTAATGTTATGTATTTTATATAGAAAAGAGCATAAAATTCGTATACTCACTGGAAGAACGTGACATAATCTTTCTTCATCCTGACGTGATGCAAGCGACGCAACAAAAAGTCCGCTTCGATTATGATGAGGTCCCTTTTCAGCTTCTTCTCCGCCTCGATCATCGTTTTATGCCCCTTCGGCACCGCCCTCTTCTCGAAAAGTATCGTGTACAGTGGCTTGCGCATTCGCAGGATCTGCAACCTCTTCAACGCCCTCTGATAATTCTTCGACGCGTGATAATGCAGTATCTCGGCCGATTTCTTGCACGGATGTTCGAACAGTTCCGCCTGCTCTGACAAACGTTGCAGGAAACTCTTGTCGCAGGCCAAATGTCCCAGGTAGAGTTTCGCGATCACCTTCTGCAGCTTTCGGAAACCGTTCTCCGCTTTCGCTTCCGGGTCGTTCACCTTAAATCTGGCCTGCTCCTCGTCTATACCTGTGAAACCGGTTAACCACCGCTGACTTCTCTTCGAAAAACCGTCCCGGAGGCGACGGTAAACATCGAAACTCAGCTAAATCCTCCGAGTTTCATTTACATTTAATAAACTTTGGAAATAAGAAAAATATCGCTCTTACTCGAGCAACTCCCTCGAGTTTCCCGTGATCTTGCCTTTTTCGAAATATTTACACTCCGAGTGCGAGGTTAATCTTTTTATTGAAAGAGTAATCACTCGACTGCGGAGCTTCGTGAAAGTCTTGGAAAAACTGTGAATTATAAGACTTAATGCCGTTCAACGACCTGATTGACGAAGGAAGGGAATTTCTTGAAATTACCGATGAACTTCCATTCTTCGGTTTGCGTTTCGTTAAATGCTTGGATCACAGAACATTTCCGTATCTACGCTTCCGGTAATAAATTCACGCAGAAATTACGCGAGTGCTTTTATTTTGGTTACAAGTGCAATCGAGAAGTAATCAACGTTTCGTTCGGAAAGTCACAAATTTAATGTTTCGTCTTTTTTTTAGCTACAGTGCTCGACAAGTATCGAGACTCCAATGAAACAGTATCCAGTAAAAAAACCCATCGTACAGTATTTACGAACAACACCCCCGAAGCAGATTGCGGCCACGCTGGAAGATTAAAGCATGTAACGGACAACATTAAGTTGTAACGAGCTTTTTCGCGGCGAGTCTGTCCCCGTAACCGGGACGTCGAGTTACAGTCCAATTAGTCCGCGCGGAAACAGAAAGTTCCAAACGGTGACGGAACTAACTCAGTTTCCGCGAGGCTGGATCCACCGGAAAATGAAAATCGGTATATCAGAAAGTTCAGTCCGGGACTTAGAAATTAGTTTACCGCCGGTTCATTTTTCCAGAGGAAAATGTATGGTGCTCGACGAATCGGAAAATGAATTGGGCAGTTCGCGAAAATCCCGACTGGAATTCTTCCCCCGTTATTTTCACCGTATAAACAGAAATTTCTTTGAAGTTCACCCTTTGTGCACGAAAGAGATCTTGCCGTTAAAATCTAAAGACTGCAAGACTTTTCCGACGAAACATCGATTACACTTTTCCCAATGACACGAGGAAAAATTGTACGTAAACGCCGAGTGATTAATTTCGACGCTTCCAATGTTTCGTACATCGATATTTCGCTTACTATCGCGGTACTCGAAATTTAATATCGAACATCAAACACTCAAGTATTTGATATGAAAACTAGAGTGCTAACTGCTATTTGGCAAAGTTAACCGTAGGGAAGTGATACTGACGAGCCCACTAGCAAATTCTAGATGAAACTGCCCTACCTTTCGCTAGGACTATCCCCTATGATCATCAATAACCGTAACGAATATATCCGTCATTTTAGAACCCAAAAGAATGCTAATATGTTCAACAATTAACTTCTTCAAATAAACATGGTATGTTTTATTTTGCTTTAGTTTCTTATTTGAATGTATAGCGCATTTTCCTCGCGTTCGACGTGTATATTCGTCATTAGTTGATGTAATGAAAGGAAATAGTAGAAAAATTAGTAAAACGTGAGTAATACAGTACACGAGAGATTTTTCAAACGAAGTTCCACAGTTAAACCGGTTAAAAAATTTCGGAGTTTTACCGGCCAGCTCGTCCACTTCCTCTTTGAGCTTCTCGATCATGAGCTTCCGGTGTTCCTCGAGGTTCCGTATCCACGGTGAAAGTAGCTGCAACGCTTTGGGGTGAGTGTTCCTACCCACACAGTCCTCGACGATCTCGTTGCCTTGCAGGATCCCGTGTTCCAACGCGGTCCTACGGTGCCTCCTGAAGCCCTGATGGGCGTGGACCAGACTGTACTCGAACTCGCCGACGTGGAACAGGGTCAGCAGTTGCATTTGCTTCACGTGAGAGTAGGTCGGGTCTGAAAATGAACGGCGTTTCCCGTGAACGCGGCCCCTGATTCGACCAATTCACCGAGACCGAAGGGATAGCAGTTCGACTTAATTAAACTGTGGATGTTTATGCAAATACAGGCCGTTATTACTCTTCGAAGTTCTGTTTAGCTGTCACCGATCAAACAAAAACATCGTAGAACTTTAGTCGATTCTACGTTACGATTGTCTACGTTGTAAATACGTAGGATTGTTGGTAAAATCAGTGATACTTGGTTTTCTAGGAGACAGCTGTTTCACTTCGTTAAATTAGGGTTTTTTGCTAATGTAGTAATCTAGAAATCTAGAAATCTAGAAATCTAGAAATTTAGGGATCTAGAAGTTTAGAAATATAGAAATCTTTAAATTTAGGGATCTAGCAGTCTAGAAGTCTAAAAGTCTAAAAGTCTGTTTAGTCTAGAAATCTATAAATCTTTAAATTTAGGAATCTATAAGTCTAGAAATCTAGAAATCTAGAAGTCTAGAAACCTATAGATCTAGAAATCTAGAAATCTAGGAATTTAGAAGTCTAGAAGTTTAGAAACCTAGAAATCTAAAGATCAACGAATCTACAAATCTACAAATCTACAAATCTACAAATCTACAAATCTACAAATCTACAAATCTACAAATCTGCAAATCTACAAATCTACAAATCACTTATTCCATGCCAAAAACGAAAAGACACGACTTTTCTGTAAAAGCAAATATCTAAAAAGTCCTAAAAAGGAAAGAATTAGAACCCACCTATCTTCATGCATTGCTCAGTAGTCTCCGCCGCCCTGGTATATCTTGCGTAATCGACCTGCGTCCTGCAAAGGCCTAGATAAGTCCTGAGGTCAGCGTCCTGGCCTTGTTGGATCGCCTTGTTGAAATAAGTTTCCGCGAGGTTGAACTTGTTCAACCTGGCCAAGTAATATCCCCATTCCCTGTACACCGTGCCGTCCCTGAAGAACAAGGGTGGCACGTCCTTCGAGGCCGCCATTTCGATGCCCGGCGTCTCGCGCGAAAGGGAAAAATTATTCGGAAAATTTCTCCTGTCGTGGTCGCGGTTAACCGGCCACGTGGGAGCGGATATATAATTCAGCAGGTCGAGAAGATACCCCCGAGGAGATCAGAGGCTGCCCTGCACTCATGAATTTTGCACCTTGGCCGCCGGAACCGAATCCCTTTATGGTCACATCTTCACCGTAAACTGTCGACCTCTTTGATCGACACGGAGATCCGTGACGCGATTGTCCGACGATCCGACGTCTCCGACACGAATAACAACGCCGACGTGTTCGTGTTTACTGACCTGAAGTCTGAAGCTTGTAGAGGCCGGTTTCGCTTGAAATTTTCGGGAGGTCCGCCAAGTTTCAGAGAAGCGGAAGAACAAATTTTATCCAGCTATTCCTGGAGTGTTTCCGTGAATCTCGATTGAATTATTACTCCCTCTTTCGATCACTACCTTTCGCTTTTGTAAATTCCAAGCGATATATTTCCAACTGTCAAGATATCAATGCGAGTGATTGTACGTTAAATCGAAAGAAAATTATGAGTTACGATCGTATCGAGGTTTCTAATAAATAATCATTTAAAGAGCCTCGAAAAGGTAAAGAATGAGAATATTTTCTACTCTATTGAACGCGGGAATCATTTATATCTGTCGACGGTATATTTTCCACGCTTCAATCCGTAGTTTGATGGATGAAGGTGTTCCGCGGTCGTTACCTTGAGTAGAGAATTTTCGAAATCCCGAGATAGCTAATGACGAATAGAGCGGGTGCAAACGACAAGCCTGCATCGCGAGGGAAATTGTTGCTGCGCTTAATTAGCCTTTCGCAAGTCCCGGAGTACAATATTGGCAAAGTATTTAGAGGAAGAACGGCGTGCTACCGCAGAGGTTCTTTGAGCGTGCCTCGAGATCTAGCGGGCTGGGCTTAATCCGCTTTCAACTCGAAAATACTGTCGCGCAGCGTAAAGCTCCTTGTGGCATTAATTGTCACGCACCGGGGAGGATTATATTGAAACGACTGAAGCGAATGCGCTGCATCGCGAAGCTCTATCTTCCCCGGGATGGAGTGCTCTCGAAACATTTTGCCGTCGGTGGATTTATTTTCCATCGAATCGCTGAATCTTCCGTTTCGCGCGCGATGGAACGATACGTCGATGTCCACCAAATCAATTTCTGCTTACAAATTCCGTTGCCAAGAGTGAATCTTCTAATGGACGACGCAACGATCCGACGTTTTTAATTCTCATCTCCCTTTCGTGTTATTAAATAGTACACCGGTGGTGACCATTAACGGCAGTTGGTTAATTAAGAGAGCACTTTTGTAATTGATTATAAGACGATCAACGCCGATGGCTCTAATGGCGTGGCACATTTATGAAAGCCAACTGGAAATATGTAATAATCCTCGTAATTTAATCACACTGAAAAGTTCGTGGGGACATTTTGTGCCATCGTGGACTCCGACTATACGAGGTCGCCGATGAGACCGTACTTAACGTTTCCACGTGGAATTCGAGCTGATACTGCGCTACGCAAGGGGAAATTGAATATATCCACGGAAATGTAACAACGGAATCTAATAAAGTATGCAAAGCGTACGAGCAGCTTCGCTCGTAACCGACGGTTAAGTAATAGTCCGAGGAACGCATTCACGTGGAGGACACGAAATGCGTTAATATTTCGCTGAAAGCGAATTTTAAGAGCAGCGCCGCGCGGCGGCCGCTGGACAAGAGCATTCTCGTAAGCGGAATAAAATGGTCAACGCGCGTAGCGTTGGGAAATCCTGTAATCTCTTCAAAAACGGTTTCCGCGGTTTCCTCTGTACCGTATAATCATTAGTTCGCTATGCCTACTCACAATATTGTCCTTCGTTTCTTTCTACTCGCTACATTGTTCGTTAGTCCGCTATATTATTCAGTGTTTCTATATATTCACTATATTATTCATTACTTCTATACATTCACTGTATTATTCATTGCCTCTGTATATTCGATACATTGTTCGTTCGTACGCTGTACTATTAATTACTTCTCTGTATTTACAACATTGTTCATTAGTGTACTATATTATTCATTGGTTCGATGCATTGTTCATTAGTTCTGTATACACACTATACGATACACTATATTCATTACCAAATTGTCACCCCCGCAATTCAGAGCGAGCGATGTATCGCAAAGGGGAGAACAGGATAATGGCCCGCAAGAGGCTTTCACCTCTGAACAATGCCCGGGATAGAGAATACGTATTCACTGGCGCAACCTTTTCGTTGGTGTTGCAGGGGGCAGTCAGCTATAAGCATTTAACGGAGCACACCAGTCGAACAATCGTGGGCCATTGGATCTAGCTGTACCCTCGAGATGCGGTGATGGCTCTGCTAAACAGATTCGCGCAGCTGCCTGACAGCAGTGGCACGCGGGTCTTCTCGTTCATCGTCACCAGGAGCGTGATACGCGACCCCGAAAGAGACGTCACCAGCAAGGAGCTCGTCTGCGGCTTCCAGCGATGGTCCGTCGCGTTCTCGCGAGGCAACAAGGTAACGCATTGGTCACTCGACCTGATAGATTCGGACGAAACCATTGAACTAGCGCGAATATTCGGAATAAATCCAACTACTAAATTTCGCTCGGGAAAGAGATATCCTCGCTAAGAAAGGCAAAGCTTAATCCTATGCGATCGAATGACACATTAATGGCAACTTCGAGCTGTGACATATAAAATTGAAAACTGCAAACGGATCATTCGATTAATCAAATAACGACGGGTTTATACCATTTCCTTTTCCCTAATATTTAAAACTCCGATGCATAATTCAGATGTTCAGAAGCTTAAAGAATTCTCGTCCGCCGTTGCTTCGAGACCCGACCATTGATTGATGAGTTCATAAAAGAAAACGTTTGTTGAATTATAAATCATCAAGTCAGTCGGCCGTGACGCGGCTGAAATTCAATTAACGACTGCCGGATTACTTTTGTAAATACCAAGGGAGGAGGGGCGCGGCGCGCGCAACGAAATATGCGACGATTATCTCGGTAATTGAATAACGATCGTATCGGGGAATTAATGAACCCGCCGGTGATAATGCGATATCGAGGATAGCATTTGCGAGCGCCGTCGGGAATAAAATCGCGAGATCTTGGCAGGAATATTGAATGGAATTATCTTAAAAAGAGGGTCCTAACTGCAACTTTATTTAAATATTTGAAACTGGATACATTAATAATGAGACGACGAGAATGCGATTAAAGCTCCTGAGACAGAATCTTACTCTGTAGTATTGAATACAGTACCGAGTCAATAACCAAACAAACCGTCAAGTATCATTTTCTCTTCCCTTCCTTCCTACAAGTACAATGATACGCCGTGACATCTCCATTTCATCCTCCATTTCACTCGGATCGTAGCTCTGTAAACGTATCCCAACATGGTAAAAGCCTAAGAAAGACACACGTCTAAGACGAAAGTCACGAATCCAGCGGTCGTGAGTTCGACACGACTTCCCTGTCACAATCGCCCAGAACAGAACCAATAAAATCGATCAAAGAAACAACGCTTGTCTCTGCTCTGCGAAGGTGTTGGGCGCGTACCTGGTATGGCGAGGTGCCTCGAGGAACCTGCGTGTCTACGTGGACTTCACGTTCACCCTGCTGAACCGGGAGCACTTCTCGATGAACGAGGGCTTCTCGGGCAAACGCGTCAAGTTCACGTACGAGGCGCCCGCCCAGGGGAACCGGAACTACATACCGGTCTCGGACCTCTACAACCGAAACTTCGCCGACACGAACGGCGAGTTCCAGCTGGAGCTGACCATGTCGAACGTGAGGACCGTCTACATGACCGAGCTTAAAGTGGCGAGCAGCACGTTCTCCGCGGGCAAGTCGAAGCCGAACAAGCTGGAGACCGACTACTTCGCATTCGGTGGCTGCGACTGGAACCTGGTCGTCTATCCGTACGGGAACAAGGAGTCGGAGAGTTACCGGGGCCACGAGAGCTGCGTCAGCGTCTACCTGATGAGGCTGACCGGTTTCGATCATCGGTGCAGGGTGCGATACAGCGTCGCCCTCGGCGAAGGAGATCGCAGGATAGACTCCGGCCAGATAGAGGACCTGTCCGACGTGGAGGGTTGCAGCTTCGGCTGGCATCCGCGCGTCAGGTGGTCGGACATCGCTCATAAAGGTGTGGTCAGGGTGTCTCTCGAGCTGGTCGAGGCGAGGACGATCTGCGAAGTCGCCGTGTTAGCCCGGGGACCCGCGACTTTGCCTACCATACCCTGCTACGATCGGGACAAGCAAGCTTGGACGCTCCGCGCTGATCTGCACTCGGACACTGTCAGGCTGCACTTGGTGTACAAGGATATTCATAACGTTCCGCGGAACCATTTGAGGTTTGTACCGATCGAACGTACCACGTTTGAAGTCTGTCGATGATGGGTGGGTTCTGTAAGGATACATAGAAGATTATTCAATGTTTGCATCGTTAACTTTGGGGAAGGCAGCGATAATTGTAGTTAATCATTTATGTAGATTGTACAGTAGTTCACTTACCACTCGCTGCGTATTAGATATTTAAGACTAATGAGTTGGACGCCTGAATGTATGCAATACTTATGAGACCTGTCGATTCGAAACCGTACTCAGGCGAGTCTAGGGTAGACGATTTTAGAGACATCGATTTCTAAATGCTCGTAAACGGATTCAATGATGGAGACACGGAAGTTCTTTAACCAGTGGTAACTTGATCTGTCACCAGGTACGTCAGCTGGTCGGCCTACCTACTCCGGGACGAGGAGCCGAACACCGTCGCGATCAGCCTGCCCGGCGGCCCGTTCAGTCGGTATTACTCTCAAGAGCCCGTGGACGAGGGCATAATCATGGAGACGAACCTCGATACGAACGAGGTGAAGGACAACCAGTCCCTGTTCCTCACGGACAAAGGGCAACTGAGGATCCGTTTGGAATGGAACGAGAGCCACTTGCTGTTCCAGGCGACCTACCACAAGTACGACGACGTGTGCCGCATCCACAATCAGCAAATGCGACGCGAGATCGCCTCCCTCCAGGCGGAGAACTACAGCCTGGAAAGGCAGCTGTTCAGCTACCAGAAGAGCCTGGCGTACGCCCAAGCGCAGCAGCAGCAGCAACAGCAAAACCAAAACCAGCAGCACCACGCCGGCCATCAGCCGCACCTGGAAAGGTCCGCGTCGACCGACACCGAATATGCCTGACAAGTAGAACAGATGAACGAGCTGCCGGGGGCCGGCGGTTGCAGACGGCAGTTGCCGATCGTGCAGGAAAACGACCGCCGAGTCCACCAGAATCTCGTCAGGATGATGGACCGGCGGCTGAGCAACGTCCAGCTGCAGCAACACCTCTACGAGACGGACGACAACCAGTACTACCAGCAAAGGTACGGGGACGGATCGCCGAGGCAGAGCGTCGATCATCAGGAGCATCGGCGGAGCATCGTGCAGCAGCCGAAGTCGGCGCGTTCCAGCGTCGGCAGATCGGACAGCGCGTCGGACCGCGGGACAGACCGTTACGCCGGCTATTATTTGGGGTACGTCGGTCAGGCAGCGCACAAAAGACGTAGGACCACTTTCTGGGAGACCCTGACGGGTCTCGTGTGCTCATTGGGCGCTTTGGCTTCCAGGGCTGCCAAGATGGCCACCAGACGGGGCGAGCCGCTCTGAAGAATCGCGTACGCGACGGACCAGCGGACCGACGCGAGTCCGGGAATCCGCGAACCGGAACGGGAACTCGCGAGCTCGCGCACACGGCGCACACGCACACGCACATGCACCCAGTGACCAATTTGTGATCGTGTGTGACACACGGAGTGACACGGAGAGTACCAAAAGGAAATCGTCCGCTCGCCCGTCGACCGGATTCTATTTTTCTCGCGGTGCATGCCTGTGACCCGCGTCGACCACACACACACAAGCGCGCACACACACGTACACACACGCAGAGAGAGAGGGGCTATACGATGATCCCGCGCACCCGAACCAGTTCGTCGATGATTCCCATTTTTTGCGACGACGGACGCGAGTATATATATTTACTATATATGTATACATGGAACCCGACTCACGCGTATATGTATATGTGTATATATGTGTGTGTATATATACACATATATATCTATGTGTGTATATGTATATGTATATATGTGTGTGTGTGTGTACGTATACGGTAGCCGGTTAAAACAAACGCCGCGGAACGATGTTACATGTTTTCGTAGAGGGCTGGTCGGATCGTCGGTCGCGCTACGTCACGACCCTGGCTGTCGATGATGCTACCGAAAGAAGCTCCCCCTAACATGATGTTCAGTGGCATACAAAGGTGTTTCTTTTCTTGCACGGGCGCTATATATATATACGCCCGCCAACCAGATTATTCTGATGATATCGACAATATGGCGACTGGGAGCGACGAAGAACGGAGATATGATAATGATGATGTTGATGACGCATCGTACCGCTTGGAATGGTTTCACTAACGGGGACAGCCGGTTGATCACACACTTTCGTCCATTTTTCCGCTGACGGAGTCCAAGAAGGTGAACGACGAAAAAAGGATCGCGACAGCGTCTTGTCCTTCGACGACGATAGCCCGGCTGAAAAGGAACCAAGAAACTTTGAACGGAACTGTTCGTGCTTGGGAAACCAACGGAAGACGGAACCAGGATGGCTCTGGGCGTCGATAATCGATTTGGAAGTCCGGTCGAAGTTCGCGCAGAGACAGACACGCATGTACACACGTACCAACCACACACAGAACACAGAGAGTAGGAACCAAGGAGGGTTTCGACGGCTGAACACATACGGGAATGGAAGCGGAACACGGAAAGAACGGTCTCGTCCACCCTCGATTTCGATTCTACACGTTTAAACACGGATAACGATTCTATCTACTTGTCAATTTACTAAAAAAGAAAAACGATGAAAAAAAAATGGAGCAAACAAACAAGAATACCTATTTTCCTCTAAAGACTTTTTTCACCTATCGTCTGCGACTTCTTTGATAATAATGGATCCGTGCGGCGTAGTCGCCGCGAACTCGTAAGCAGCGTAAATTTATCGTAGTTACGTACACATCCTAAAACGAATTAAAGAACATTGAAAAAACGGAGAAAAACAGAGGGAAAAAAAAATGATAAAATAAATACATAGAGTACAGTCGATGTTACATAAACCGAAAGTAGGCGAACCGGAGGGGCGTTGTTCGATCTCGTTGCGGAGCAATTAACGTGGTGCACGAGCAGCGCGTCGGTGTTCGGCTAGATGCGGCCATTAGTTTCCTCGATGCACGCCGAAAGATCTAGGTGAAAAACGTGGCGAAACACGCGTTCGATTCGCCGTCTGCACGGGCCAATCCAATATTCTAACTCGACTGTTACCGTTTTTTTT